TTTTTGCGATTTAGATCGCTTTAAATTTTACTTTAAAGTTAATCTAACAGTTAATATTAACATTCTAAATTTAATAGAAAAAAAATCAGGTCATAAGGGTGTGTTTTGAGTGACTTTCTAAAAGTATTTCTAAAAATTGTTTATCATAGGTACTTAAAAAAAATAGTGTGTCAAATTACCCTACCACTACCTCTACTACCATCGTCGCCGCCACCACTATCACTGCCGTTATTGCCACCACCGTCGCTGGTGCTGTCGTCGTCACCCTACCACCACTATCGCTGCCACCATCGTCGCCACCCATCACAACCATTATTGTCTCCTACCATCACCTCTCACCCTCACTCAACCGATGCTTAAATTCATTTATTTCTTATTTATGCTTGTGATTTAATTTTAAATATAAATATAAATATGTTTATTGTTTATCATTTTTTATTACTTTGTGCCTTCAGGTATAAACAATAACTAGTAATTCATATAATGTACCTGAGTGTACTTGGGAACCACCAAAAGTTATTTTTATGAACAAGTAATTTTTTTTAGTGTACCTCTCTGACGATATGAAGAGAAATATATATTATGATGATCTAACTTTTTAAAATAAGCGTTTCAATTATATAATCACATTATCGTTATTTTTACAATTTTAAATGACGTTAATTATGTCAATTGCTTTGATTTTTCAACTGGACCTAATCCCAAAATAAATTGGCGAGTACCTACTCATTCTAATCAATGTTTGACACCACACCCATCCAAAGTTGGTATGGGCTTATATTATATTTTTTTTTAAAAAGTGTAATGGTCATTTCATTATTTTTTATTTAGATATGTGAACGGAGTCTATAGAACAAATGTTGTTGATCCAAAGTAAGGATAGTATGAGATAGAAATAAATCAACACAGACCATTTTGTATTGAATTGGATTGAATTGAATTAGAATTCAAAATCTAATGTAACCCAATAGACGGGTATCCAAGCACCCCATAGAGACAGAGGACTTGTTCCAATTTTCACAATAAATAAAAAATATTAGGGGCGCATTGATTTTTCTCCCAATGTTTTGTCTACCGATTTGCCGCAAATTTTCAAAAAGCAAGCCCTACGCACGAACTCTCTTAAGAAAAGACCCCCAAAACTCAACATTAGCCGAAGAATTGTACGTCTCAGGTTTGAGTCCAAGAAAGTTCCCGCTCCTCCTACAATCTCGACCAGGAAAATACTAATTCTTTCTTCGATGTTTTGTTTTGATTCTGTGTTGGTTGTGTTTGCTAATAATAATTTTCAATATTTATTCGTATTTTTATTGTAAGAATTTATTCTTCAAACAGGTCCGTAAAGAGTTGCATTCAAGTGGAATTGGAATGCTCTCTGTAAGTATAATCACTCAAATGTATTTGCAGGTAATTTCGTTTTCTATCTTTCTAAGCCTTTTTTGTTTGAGCTGCATCACTATAAGTTCTGTATAAATTTGAACAATTACAAAATTGAGGAACATACGTTGCGAGCTTAAGACGGTTTGTTTGTTCTGCCTAGTTTCATTAACTAAAATTAATACGAGGTATGATAAAAAGAAGTACTCGGTAACTAATGGATACTTATAGTTCAATGAAATACAAAATTAACATTGTTTAGATGGTCCATGTTCAGAGTTCAATTACCTGAAGAAATTGGAGTCAGTGTATTGATATCTGATATAAACGGATCTGAAATTCTCATTTTTTATCATCCTCAAGTTCTGCCTGCACCAGCCTTGCAAGCCTTTAAAATATTACCTCTGCACTTATTTTTAAGTGTAGGATACATACCAAATAGAGTAAGACACTATGACCCATATGTGTTTGATGCAAGTGACTACATATTTTAACTGAACTTTTTACTTGCACATTCACCAATTGGAATTTAGGAATGAGGGGGGCCATCAAAATAGAAGCTATTCCATTCAAATTGGCACTGGTCTTTATGGTGATATAAGAAACCATGAGAGGGTAACTCTGTCTAGCTGTTAACACATTGGTTCATATATCATGGAACTCTTAATTGCTTCTTTTGTTGGATAATGATCTAGATGTTTGCTTAGAATCATTTAGAAGCATGGTTTGGCGGGGTTCTGTATAGAGCAAGGAGGTTATATGTGCAGGACCAAAAGGAACTATTTGTTGTCAAGCTCCTTTCTCCCATCCAAATTCTATTTATTACAAATAGCAATAGAAACCAACTTGAGGAGATTCTTGTTGAGTGTCGTCACACTGTCAAGCTTTGTCTTATACACCAGGATCAGATAAATGAAGTCCAATCCTTTTTATCTCGTTTGCGGCTTATTCTGCCTATAATTATCATGTTCACCCACTTGTTTGCTTAGAATCATTTATGCTCCGTTTGGTATGATGAAAAAATGAAAAGATGAAAAGTTGGAAAAATAGAAATTTGGAAGGATAGATAAAATATCATGTTTGGTAAAAAAGAAAAATAAGAAAGATAGAAAAGTGGATAAATGATATTTCCTTCCGACCCACCAAAATCAGTCTATCTAAAATTAGATGGAAAGTGGATGAAAAGTTAATTTTTTGTGTTAAAATATATCTTATTTGTCTATGCATCAATTGATATATACATATACATTAATTTCATATATAAATACAATGATAAAATATGTATTTATAATTTTTTTTTTAAAAAATGAAAAAAAAAAATAAAAAAAAAATATTGTTTTATCTTACCAATCACAAAAAAAGAAATTAATCATTTTTATTTTCTATTGATCCTACAAATACAAAAAGAAGGAAAGTGTATTATTCTTACTTTCCTTCCTTGAAGGATAGAAAGTGTATCTTTCTTACTTTTCTCTTATATTTTTTTATCTTTCTTACCAAATGGAGCATTAGAAGTATGGTTTGGTAGGGTCCTGTACAGAGCAAGGCAGTTATATGTGCTTCCGCACGACCAAACGGAACTCTTCGTCAAGTTCCTTTCTCCCGTTTTTCGACTTGAGGAGATTCTTGTTGAGTATCGTCACACTACTTTGTCTTATAGGCAGAGATCAGATGAATAAAGTCCAATTTTTTTTGTCTCATTTGAAGCCTGGCCACCCACTTGGAAGGGGTGTAGAGGACATAGATTCAAATCCATTATTCGAAAAAATTGCGTATGAAAATTTATTTAGCCGTGATGCTACATGATGGCAATTAAAGACGATAGATTTCTCCATTGCTCTTATTCTTCATATAATTCTAACCAATATGGTTTTGAATCTTTATGGTTAGTTATTGTAGTACTCGAAAAACTTCAAGACACATGTCTTGACCATAACAGGATAAGTGGTAACAATTATCGGTCAGTGTTTGACAGCGTCAATTGGACTGGTGTAGATAACAATGCCATGCGTGATGCCCAAGACACAATACTCATGCGTGACACCTAAGGTGTAACGCCCCGGGGCGCGATGCCGCAATATCACATCAGGGTGAAATACATCTCCACCTCATTGAAAATGGCAAAATAGACCTTTCACCAAGGTGGGACAAAAGTGGAATCACAAAAGTACGGGGGCAATCTCGGCAAGACTCACCTCCCTCACTGCGGGAGTGGTATCCTCAGCCTATTGAACACCATTGCTCAACTGCCTTACTGGACTAAGAGGTGTCCCCACCTTGGGACAGGGGAGTACGACCATCCTCAAAGGAGAATTGAGCAATAGGGACGGATGAGCACAATTGTCGACCTCGACCTGAGGTAGGGTTTTAAAGGTTTAGTTTGCTCGAGCAAGTCTCCCAGTGTATGGATCATGGCCCACTGGGATATGCTTGATTGGGATCCGGAGATACTTCTAAGGGAACTGAGATTATTGGTCTGAATCAGCATATGAGACAATGAGACATACGGATTGGTGGCTGAAAGACCAAAACTATGTGAATTTCCTCTATTGAGCACCTTGACAAAGGTCTCGAGGAAGGGTTTAGAGAGGGAAAGAAGGACCCCGGGTAGGAGCGCGCTGGAGGCATTGCCGACATGGCCCTATNTGGGCACCTTGACAAAGGTCTCGAGGAAGGGTTTAGAGAGGGAAAGAAGGACCCCGGGTAGGAGCGCGCTGGAGGCATTGCGGACATGGCCCTGTCGGGGTCATGGTCCTACGGTGACCAGTCGAGGTTGTGGACCTTGGAAGCCCGCTCTCACCTTAGCTGTTGCACTTTCCTCAGGGCAACGTCCACGTTGCGTTTGGGAAAACATCACATCTGTCTAGTTAATGTTGGGACGCATGACTCGCGTTAATAGCCACTGGTATCGTCGCGGTTGAGGTGGTTGTGGGTTCGCACGTGTGATAAGGGGTCGCAGAGGGCAGTCCTTTGGGCAGCCTGACCTGCCCGGGCACTGTGCTATAAATGCCCACATTACTTGCCCACTGCGGAGATGATTTTCTGGTTGGTGAGACCTTTTTTCACCTACCCTCTGTCCAACTGGTTCGTCCATTCGTTAATAGGTTGATCGAGTTTCTTCCATCCCATTCACTTATCCTGCTTNTTAATGTTGGGACGCATGACTCGCGTTAATAGCCACTGGTATCGTCGCGGTTGAGGCGGTTGTGGGTTCGCACGTGTGATAAGGGGTCGCAGAGGGCAGTCCTTTGGGCAGCCTGACCTGTCTGGGCACTGTGCTATAAATGCCCACATTACTTGTCCACTACGGAGATGATTTTCTGGTTGGTGAGAACATTTTTCACCTACCCTCTGTCCAACTGGTTCGTCCATTCGTTAATAGGTTGCTCGAGTTTCTTCCATCCCATTCACTTATCCTGCTCACCCTCTTCGATTATCCTTGGTATAGACACGTGTGCCAACCTCTTTTAACTCCCCACCTACAGTTATAGTGGTATTCCCGTCTACCTCATCACTTGATTATGGGGTTGGGACACTTTGGATATTTACCAGATCACAGTGAGCATAATTTGGAACAGAAGTATGACTAAAAACAAATATGCTGAAGGAAAATATTAGGTTGCATGGACTCAACTGTAACCACTTTCACTTCAGTCTATGGTAAACTTGTTTCTTTAGTTCATGACCACGTTAGTGTTTCAGAGCAAATACACCAAGCGGATTCCACCACAACAAATTATCCAACAGTGGGAGAGAAAGACGAAGTAGAGAAAACTGTTGCAGATTTATTTAACTTGGTAGATGATCCAGTTGCTACTATCCTTTCGACCCTCCTACTGCTTACGCTTGAAAGCGTCTTTCTTGCCTTGGGGGGAGTTCATGTTCTCTCTCTTAGAGTCTGTCATTAATTATTTCACTGATATTAGGTAGGATTGTAGAGTTCTTTATGGTGTGGTCCTGTAACATTCAAGCCTCTTTTTGTTTTATAGATGTCACCCGGAACACCTCCTTTAATTCCAAAAGGAGATGCACATCGTCAGTTGGGACTCTGTCATATGTGTTATATGTACATATACATTTTCAATTGAAAAGGAAGAAGAATGTACATTGCTCAGGGTTGCAGTATCAGTGTGGTAACAAAGGCAAATAGTAGTGGGAAACAGTTGATTATGAATAAATTGAAGTCTTGGGATTACATAAGGGCATCTCATTCCTTGCATTTGGAATGGTGGCCTTGATTCCTCTGTTAATCTGTCTCATCCCACTTCCCTATGNATTACATAAGGGCATCTCATTCCTTGCATTTGGAATGGTGGCCTTGATTCCTCTGTCTCATCCCACTTCCCTAAGNAGTGGGAAACAGTTGATTATGAATAAATTGAAGTCTTGGGATTACATAAGGGCATCTCATTCCTTGCATTTGGAATGGTGGCCTTGATTCCTCTGTTAATCTGTCTCATCCCACTTCCCTATGGAATAACCTATTCTTACAATGGGGTGGCTCTCCTTGCGGACTTATATGGCTGCAAAAATAATATTCCAACTACATATCACTTAAACAATTTTATCCTTTCTTTTGGCAGGAGATCCTATAATTTTGCAATAATTCCATGCATTTTTGCTAAATTAAATGGGCTCAACTCACTTCTGGAATGTTGAAAAAAGTTATGCCTGTTTGGATTTTCCATTTTGTTTGCTTTTGTTTTGTTTTATCTTCTCCCACTTCTTTGTCCCGAGACCACATCGTTTGTCCATGTGTCACCTGTTGTATTTATTCGGAAGGTTTTAACNTTTTGTTTGCTTTTGTTTTGTTTTATCTTCTCCCACTTCTTTGTCCCGAGACCACACCGTTTGTCCATGTGTCACCTGTTGTATTTATTCGGAAGGTTTTAACATTATCAACTGTATGTGCTGCTACTCCCCTGGTATTCATTTTTCTTTCTGTCAGTGAAGTCCTTGTAGATCCAGCCAGTTTATGATCATACTATTTTGGGTTAAACAATTGTCTATTTCTTCTTTTTTTGTTCATTTGTGTTGAAGTCTGTGTTATGTTCTTCTTCAGCACAACTTCCCCTGAACTTTGGAGGCCTTAAATTTGACTTGCTCTCAACAGCAGGGAAATCGTTGGGATAGGAATCAGCTGGGGTCACCCCTCTTCTTTCTTTCGAGTTCCAGCCATTCTCCTTCTACCTATTATGGTTTCAGGAACCTATTCTACCAGATTTTTAATGGTGTATTTGATGACCAGTTTGCTGCAATGGATGCTCTTCTGAATGGGAAAGAGTCCTTTGCGCTTCAGGTATTGAACAATCTATCCACTAGGAAGATCAGGATTCCCTTAAGAGTGGTTTCAGTAATCAATATTTATTTCTCTGTCTTTCTTGCTTCTTCTTTTCCCTTTTTTTTTGGGTAGGAGCTTTGGGTTGGTAAAGGACTTCAGAAATAAAACCCCTCAAGGCCATGAATCTTCTCATGCATTTACTTATTTCGTATAAGATAATAACAACAGCAGTTTAGTTGGGGTTTATAATGATATTCCTATTGGAACTGAATTAGAAGCAAGAGAAAACATTGTTGTCTTTTACCAGTTGGCATAACTTCGAAGGGCCCATCATTTGGAGAATAATAAATGGCCCGGATAACAAAGCAGTTCTAGATTCTTTTTGATTTATGCAGTTTTGATGCTGTGGAATTGTCTTAATTTTTGTGAATGCAGTATCTTCCCATTTGATGATGCCATCATTATCACAGTCTTAAAAACCTTTCATCATCCAAACCTGCTTAAGAAAATTGTCTGGTTCCCCTACATATCAGAATTGACAAAGTCTATCAATTTGAATCTGGTTGGTGCCATGCAAAGTTCACCTCGATAAGCCAACAAAAATCAACCAAAGGTTAATATGTTGCCTGTTGAGCTCTGGAAATGGTCACTTCTTCATTATAGGTTATTTAGGGTGTAAAATGGCTGAGTTTCCATAGTTTCCTTGTTGGGCTCTGTACTGTGATTAATGTTGCCCCGTGACTTGTAAACTTGTACTATGCAATTTTGTAGAATTTTCTAAAAAAATAAACTAGTTGTCCTCCAGGGTGACACTTATATTTTCATTTCTTTTTCGTTTTTAATAGTCAATGGGATCAAAATATGTGTGTGTGTGTGTATTGCTGGTATAAACTCTCTGACATTGCTTTCATCATGACCTCTGTTTTCTTCTAGGTTCTTTACCTTTTCTTTCCCAAGATGATGCATGTGGAAANCAGGGTGACACTTATATTTTCATTTCTTTTTCGTTTTTAATAGTCAATGGGATCAACATATGTGTGTGTGTGTATTGCTGGTATAAACTCTCTGACATTGCTTTCATCATGACCTCTGTTTGCTTCTAGGTTCTTTACCTTTTCTTTCCCAAGATGATGCATGTGGAAATCTGTGCGTGGTTAAGCAGCACTTGCCGCTTTATCTCCAATTCCAGTCTCACACGCAAACCATTGCAGGAGTATGTATAAGATCTTTATAATTATAAACTTGAGGTTCTAAAATCCAATAGAACTTAAAGATGACACGAAAGGGAAGTTTAAGTGAACTGTGATGCTAATATTTTATGACCCAATTGTTTTGAAAACAGATTTAAAGAAAGATTTCTTTTTATTGTTTCTCGTCTCTTGCATTCAAGAATGCATTGCATCAATATTTTTGGAATTAATTTTGATGGGCCAAAAGCCCAAAGGTTGGACAAAGCACTACTGACACGGACTTCTCTAAAGAAATTGGTCCCAACAGTAGTCCCGCGAGTCAAATCACAATGAGTTCATATTTACTTTGGCTGTTGCATTTCCTGCTGCGCTCACTTTGCTTGATCAAAGACTTGCAATGCATTTTATTCGAAATGTCCTAAATTCTTTTGATCAGCTTATGCTCAATTGGAAATGTTGCATGCTATAGAGATTACTGATGCATTTTTTATATAGAGAACTTCACACATGGCATACCATGGCTGAAATAATACTCAATAACAAAATTATTCTCTGATTTCTTGAACTCTTCCGCACATGCGTAAATGAATTTGTCAAGGGAAGAAAAGAGTTGAATAGAGTGACCTGCAAAGATAAACTTTGCTATGGAGGTAAAGGTAAAGATGTTTGAAAGGTAAACACAGCATGCTTAATCTAGCCATTAATGTCTTTTTTTTTTTTGTTTTGGCTGGAGAAATAGACATAGTGCTAGACAGTAGCACTTTGTCAAAAAGTCATGGCCTGCACCTAAATAGATGTAATTGAGGTCTAATCTTGTGAACTATTTCAGCTTTATTTTGGGGTGAGATTACAGTGGATCGTAGGGCCCTCTGGGTTAATCGATTAGAACCTTTTTGGCTAATGATGTTCAGAAGCTAGGGCACTTTTTTCTGCAGACCACACTTAATTAATGGTCTCCATATACTTCATTTTCAGGGTGGATTTTATTGGGTTATCCTCTTTCAACTTTGCTTGTCAAATCCCTTTCTTGTTAAAGACTGAATTCATTATTATAATTTGAACGTGAATGAAAAGAGCTTCCACATAGCTGGTTAAAGAAAACTATCAAATATGAAGTTCATACTCAGTGAGGCCATGGAAATATATGTTACTACTTTATGTGTTGAGTGGTGATGCCCAAGAGGGTTGCAGAAAAGAGGGAATTGCATGGGGATTTGCAGCAGAAGGGGAAAAGTGAGAAAAGCATAGAAAAGAAGGTTTGGTAATTATTGGCATTGGAAGGAAGAAAAAAGAAACAAAAGGTAGGTCTGTGGAGATGAGATTCTGTGGTGAAAGATGACATATGCAAGTCTGTTAAAGAGAGTAGAAGAGTGACGAGTGGGAAATAGAAGAGAAGCTTTTAGTTTGTCCACTTGTGCTGCATATGGAGATAAAAAGAGGGAGCCTTTTTTAGTAGGCAAATGGTATGTATTGTACCTTAACTGTGTCACTTACATATACTTTCAAAAAGCTTGGATATACTGTAATACAGGCTCCCTTTTATTAATCCCTATGCCCACTCCCTTTCCCTCTGAATATACTTATCATTTACAGTTAGGGTTATTCTCATATGGACTCTCTCTCTCTCTCATATTTTGGATATAATTGTTTTTTTTTGTGATATGGTAGTTGATTTATCCATCTATCTGTGGAATTTCCTGTTCATGTTATGCAGTTGAAATCATTATATTGGTTACCTTTATTCCTCTGAAATTAACGAAAACGGTGTGTATGATTGAGTCCATGAATGTGTTACGCAAATAGAAGTTTAACAGAGTTACTTCATATGGTTGAGTCCGGGTATAAGTCACACAAGTAGAAATTTTTTCTGTGATAAGCTTGCTTGAATTGCATCACATTGAAAAATGTTTATTTATTGTGATAGAATCATTTGTTGAATTAAATTGAAGATTAAGTTCCATGAAATTACACCATCACCCTTATATCTACTTACATCCTAGATATTCAATTGAGCTGTAAAACAGAAAAATGTTATTTTGATATAATTAGTTAACCTAACTATTGTTATTTGATTTGTTGTAAGTTACATATTAGGGCAGCAAATTAGACCAGATTAACTTTATTCGATAAATGTTTAAGCATGCTTGCATTATACTGAGTTCCACCAACTGAACCGTACGGACAGGAAGGGACTCAAAGTTATGATGAGGCTCAAGGCTGTGCTGTATGTTGAGCTGCCAACAAAGGTGGTAATTTTGAATTGTATGGACAGGAACTGATCAGAATCGTAATTTTGAACTTTCAAAGTTCGATTGTGCATACTTTTTCATAACCGTTGACAATCTTCATCTTCTTTGATTTTCTCCTCTTTTCCTCTTTCTTTGCTTTTCTTTTCTTTTCCTTTCCTTTTGGGTCATGCATCACTAAGTCCCGGACCACCACTAACACTAGCACAGAATAACACACAACACACACACTCCATCTACCCTGGTCACCCTTACACTAACGTTTGCAACTGGTTTTGCTGCCTCTCTACTCCGCTTTACGAAAGGCTACATTACTTTGAAATCTGAATCATCCTGAACTTTCTTGCTTAGTACCATAAAGAAGAGGCGTGCTACAAAGAATTTCTTGGAATCTATTACCCTTCATTCTTCGGTTGGCTGGCAAATAAAAGGTGAGTGGAGGAGAATTTTAATACAACTAACCTATGAATTACTTAGGGGTCTTAGGATATACTTGTCATCGTATGGATGAGAAGAGAAAGAATTTCATTTTTGTCAACGCGGTTTATGTAAAAGAAATGATGATTGATAATGACCCATTTGAACATTTCAAAGGGTTGATGGGGATAGCTTTTTCTTTGGACCCGTTCTTGGCAGCTGGGCTAAAGGGTTTGTCTGTATGGAGGACCATAATCTTGTTCTAAATGTCAAGGAAGTGATTCATTGTGGGAAAATACGCTGGATCCTAAATTTGGGGTTCAAATGAATTGGGACTCTTGAATGAGTGGGTTTGTTGAAAAAAGTAAAGAAACTTTCTTCTCCTTAGAGTATCAAAATATGACACGTTGACACGACACGAGATTAAAGGGTTTGAATCTTCTTTAAGTCACTCATTTAATAAGGGAGTGGACTCGACTCGATTAATAAATAAATCGGGTATAATTGAAATTAATCAGAAGAAATATATGATATGATTTGTTTATATATAAGTTGTATATTGAATTTAATATGACATGAATTAATAAATGAATTGAGTATGGATAGAATATTTTGTAACATAAACCCACTAAGATTCAACATGAAGTTGTCTCACTCGACACGATTGAAAGGACTACTTTTCTAAGGGTCCTTACTAATTTGGGATCTTTATCATTGCTCTTAAATTTAAATGATGAGATCTATATAAAGTAACATTGCTTTAATAGAGAGCTAATTTACTTTATTTATTGACTTAATTTGTTAATTTGATTTACTATTGTTGCTATATTAACAATCAATTTCATCCAATATTTAAAACTATTGTTAATCCAACAATACAAATATTTTAGGTTACTAAATTGGGTATAAGTAGCATTTTGCAAACTCAAAGTAATATCAAAAGCTTCCCATCCCGCCACTGAGTGAGGTGGTCCAGTGGAGTATCGGTTGAATTTCTCACCTTGAGGTTAGAGGCTTAAGTCTTAGCCTAGTTAAGTTTGTTTTTGAGAAGAGTAATGAATATAGTCAAGAGTTTTATGATCTCACCTGTAAAAGTCTATTATATGGCCTTTAGACACTCTCTTTTGCTCTAACCTTTTTCTCAAATAGCGATAACAATGCTCCCCACCCCCCACCTCACCTAACCTCAAGGGAAAAAAAAGAGGTCAACTATATCCAATTAACTTCATGTTTCATCAGGTTTTAAGAGAACCCAAAAACAAAACAAAAAAAAGAAAGAAAGAAAAGGAAAGAAGTAGCAAATGCAACTCATAAGCAAGAAAGGAAAAAAAGGGTGAAAAAAACCTCAAAGCAGAAATACCATTTTACCCCTCTAGATAATCAACCTGTAGCTTTAACAATTCCCCCACGTTTCCGAGGCAGGCTCATCAGCAAAACCAAAGGCTTGATGCTTCAACAATGAGTGGTCACGGTCATATGTCGGGAACTCTACATCCCCCGTGAACGATAGCAGATTCCTCACGTTTACGTTAACATCAACGCTCCCATTACCACCATCACCACGGTGATCTCCTGTCAACCCCAGAAAGTCCCTAGTCAGACGGTCACTTTTCTGCCACCTAGCAAAACTTCCCGGAGTGAAACCCAGGTATTCCGGCGAGATTCCGGTGCTCACGTGACCCATTGTGCTTATATCAAACTGGGCCATAGTAGAAGAAGGCACGTGACCAGCTACTGATTGTGCGCCAATTGATACAGCCTTTTGGAGGAGTGCAGTAGCCGAGAGGTGAGCTGATGTGGGTTGTGTGCTGAAATGGAGGTTTTGGAATGGTGAGGTGAGAGTTGGGTGTGGTGGTGGTGGTTCTTGGTAAAATGGTGAAGAGATGGGAAGGAGAATGGTTTCAGGCTTGATGTGAACTGGGTTAGGGTTAAGTTTAGGGTTAGGGTTTTGAGGTTGATTCCAGCTGGGGTAGAAAGAGATGTGTTGATGTTGGGTTGTGAGAGGGAGAAGGACTGACAATGGGTTTTGTGGGTGTAGAAGAAAGGGTTGAAGTTGGGGTTGGGCAGTGGGGTTTGGGTTTGTTGTCAAGGTTGAGTTTGCAGAGAGTCTGGCTGTTTCTTCTGCTAAAGCATCACAGAATGCTCTATGGTTAATGAAGCTATCTTTCCTGTATACGTACAAGAGACAATTTTGTAGAAAAACAAACAAAACAGTTATGATAGAATCAATTCACCCAAGAAGCAAACAAGAAAATATGTGATGAGTGCAGTGCTATATATATTATATATGGACAAGAGAAAATTGTTTGTAGTATATAATGCCGGGCTGTATGAAAGAGAGTAAAACAACCCGAGATTCCAACAACTAATCCAAAATCACCTACTCAATTGATAGGCATAGTTTTTATAGCTATTTTATCTGTCTAAAGTCGTGTAAATCAGAAATAATTTAATAAATATGAAGCGTCGAAATAACGTAGGGAAATTTCACTTTCGTTTTTACCTTTATTCATGCAAAAATGTGGAGAGAAATTTTACTCCAGCTTTCTTATCTTTCCTTTTTTCTTCTATGTTGGCAATAAAAATATACATTTGTTAATTTCTCGTAACATTAATGTTAGATTGATCAAAATTTAAGATCAAATTTAGAACTTAAATGACATGACAGATGACTTGAGTTTCTTTATTTGGTGTAATGTCATTTGAACCCCAATAAAAATTACAAACAAAATACTGCTATATCATTTAAACTATAAATTTAATTCCAAAATTTATTCAATTTAACGTTACTCTTTCTCGTAATTAAAAGTAAAAGCTTGACATACAAAACCCTTGGGGGCGTAATGGTTATTTTTTCTTCGTAATGGAATGGAGATTTAAGTCAAACAAAAAGCTTACATACCAAAAAGAATGCACAGATGATGATTGATGTTTGTGCACAGTGCATGCAATAATTAATGGGGCAGGGACATCCTGCCTTGATGGTTCCAAAAAAAAAAAAAAAAAGGAAAAATGTTGAACCAGGATGACAATACCTTTTAAAATTTAGAGCTCATCAACGAAACTAATATATATATATATATATATATATATATATATATATATATATATATATATATATTAATTTGTTTTTAATTCATACCCATATATACTTATGAGACCAGAAAAAAAAACTATATTTAAAAATTAAGATTACGTTTGATAACGTTTTTATTTACATATTTTCGAAAAAAAAAAAACTCAATTGTGGTTAAAAATTAAAACAGAAAACGTGTTTGTATGTATTTATTGTTTTAGAAAATTTAAAAATTAAAACAAAAAATATGTTGGATAATTAATTTATGGATATGACAGAATTTTTCTTCACTTAATAGGCACTCCCCTTCCACTTCTTACCATAATCCAACAAAAAAGGACACCTAAGGATTCAAGCATTGTGAGCAATTACATGACAGAAACCAAGACTACACTGGATGGTGCAGTAAGTATATCAATAAACAAAAGGTTTTTTTCTTGATTCTCTGCTTTGAGATATGAAATTTGAAGATTATGATTTCAGAGGTATTTGTTTTTTTTTGTATTATAGTTGTTCGGGTTTGGACCGACTACTCTCATGACTTCATCAGTTAAACACTATAACTTGAATCGGTCTAGAGCATATTTTTTAAGAGGTAAGAACAACTAATCCTTCGAAGATGTGATAAAAGATTAAATCTAAGATTTTTGGGTTATTAAAAGACAAACTCAACTAAGAAGAAGTCTGTTGCTGTTCACGTTGATGAGTGGCAAAGATGTGTGCGTATATATATATATATATCAAATCAAAGCCCATGAAGAAAGGGAAGGATACAGAGAGAGATCTACAATCCCAAAGGAAAATATTGATTAAGAAGAAAGCGAAACGATCCAAAAAATTTACCTGGAGAAAAGAGTTCCACAGTCACATCGATACTCTCTAGTTCCACAGGTTTTTGAATGAGCCTTGCAGTCTGAGTTAACAGCATAAATCTTTGAACATTTCTCACACTTCCATTTCTTCTCCCCATGTTTTCTGCAGTAGTGTTTCTTGATTCCTGTAAGGTCACCAAGAGCCCTAGAAGGATGGTGGTGAACGCATGTAGGTTCAGGACAAACATAGGCCCTCTTTTTGATCTCTTTGCTGTTTCTTTGCTTCAGCTTCCATGGAAGATTGTGGCCTCTCCTATGAAGTTGAAGATTCTGGTCTCTCTGAAAGCCCTTGTTGCAGATCTCACACACAAATCTATTGGTTGCCAGTAGGGTCTTTGGAGATAATGCAATCACTTCTGCACCTGGGTCTGCATAAAATTAAAATGACCTATCTGAAATCTAGGTCAAAACTTCACAGAAAATTGTAGTTATAGATCACGAATTTTACCTGGGTTTCCAGGGAGATTTCTCTTCTTTTGGATTATCTGTGGTTGCTGAGGAGAAACGATTTGAACCATTGGATTTAAGCTTCCAAAGTCATGAATTTTATTACCAGAAGAAACACTAGCTTCCTCAGACAAAGAGATTGGGTTAGACATGACTGCATGAAACATTTGGCTGTGAAGAAGATTCCAACAGAGAAAAAACAAAACAAACCCACTAATCTTATCTCTTTGTTTGATTATGTTCTTGCACAACCAAACCCTTGTTGTAACAATCTTTTTAAGACCCTATAAGAAAACAAAACAATTGGAAGAAGAACAACCCAGAACTAGAGAATCCCAGCTTGAAATACAACCAAGAGGGTGATATGTAGATGAACAGGTGGCAGTGACATTTAGTCTCAGAAAAAGCAAAATCTCGTGAGCAGATAATGATGGTTGATTCTCAAAGGCTCTATCTAAACATGAATTTCTTCTCTGTGCAACTCTGCAACACAATTCAGATATATCATCTATCTCTTTCCAACCTCTCTTAAACCCATCAAAGGATTCAAAGCCACGATGCGATCAGAAACATGGAAAGAACCGACAATAGGATGGATTTAGTTCAGATCTCCCCATAACCCTCTCCTTTTGTAGCTATCAATGTATATGTACATGAATAAAGATAGACAGTATACAGATAAAAAGTATCAGTAGGTGGTAGAGATGATGTACAGAAGGTGATGATTACGGTGGCAGACTAAGGAGATGGGGCTTTGGCAAATTAGAGTCGTAACGTATAAACGAAATTACAGAATTCTTGTTCAGGTAAAGGCAAGAAAACCCATAAAAGGCTAAGAGTTCTGCAAAGGGAGAGAGAGAGAGAAACCCAAGCAAAGACCACGAAGATTCCCAACCAAATGTTCTCATGATTAATCATATTTTCCCTTTATTTTTTTGATTTTAAACTTTGAGTCTGAGGTTGGCACTTTCTGTCTTTTCCTTTGTCCCTGTTATAAAACACCCAAATCCTAAAGGACATTGATCATTTGAATGGAATGATATTAAAAAGAGGTATTGATAACCAGGAAGCTTAGGAGAATGAGAAGCTTAAAAAGCTTGGGTGGTGTTATAAAGCCTAAAGGCAAAGTGCTAGAGATGAGGCCCTTCTAACCTTTTCTATCATGATTGAATTATCAATTGAAGTTCAGCTTATACAAACCCATGATCAATGACAAATAGCTTATACTGTTTTTTTAATGTTGTAATGTTTTCCTACTCAGTTTTTGACCCCTCCAAAAAGCAATGGCACAATGTATATTTATCATATTCTCTCTCGAAGTCCATTATATTTAACCAAATTTTAAGCCTTCAAACCTTGGTTTTTTTCTCTTGTGATATCGTTCATTATTTTTTTCCGTTTTCAGAATCCTCATTAACTTTCTCGCTTACGATTATTTTCGTGAGGATCTCCCCTTTCTGTCACTCTTTTATTTTTCATATTTATACCCACATTATATCTTAGCGCAAAAGTGAAAGTGGTCAAGCCAAAACCCCACCATGGATAGCTAAGAAGGTATCTTCTTTTTCACCTTTCTATCTTTTTTTCTTGTTTCAAACCCAAATCCAAAGCCATATAGAGATGAACACCATTGACCAAAGTACATCCCATTCATTATCAAAATAAAAAAACTGATGGCTAAAGCATGTCACTAGGCATGTGCAAAGAACTCCCATAAATATATTCCCTTTGCTCAGTGTCAGTAGCCCTTTTAATCCGAACGGTTCGTAAAGCAAAGGGCATCGTCCATGCAAACTAATCCATAAGTCTTAGGGGAGGATGCAGGATAAAAGAGACCCATGATCTACGTTTGTCTCTTTGATAAATGTAATCACATATCCAAGTTTGCTCTTATAAATCCTTGGAATCCTATGCGGGCTCTTTTGATCTTAATCTTTTCAGTCAGTTGTGTATGGTATCTTTTTCGTGAGATTCATTTTTTTTTTATTGCAGCTTAGTTTTAATGGTGCTGTAGTGACAGATTATCTATCCAAGTTAGTAGGTATGGCTCAAAATCGGACATTCTACACTAGGAGAGTCGTATGGTCACGCTTAGGAAGAATTACTACCTACTGGCTGTCCCTCTTCCAAAAAATAAAAAAGGGTGAAAGTTCTGCCTCACTGATTCATCTTAACCATCTCCACAATAACCAACTTGCAATTTGTACTATGAAGTTGTGATCCTCTTACTACGAAAATTAAGAAAAATATGATTAATCGAAGATTATGATAATCCGCGATTCTCTAAGAAAAAAAGAGTTGGACTTGAATTGCTTAAGGAAATGCTCATATTTTTCTGTAATGTCGCAATGTAATGCATTTATTTTTGACGGTACATTAGCCAGCGTTCCAATAAAAACTTGGTACGTGAATACTCACGGTTGTCAGAACACGTACAATTCGACACAAGGAGCGCCGAGTAAGTAGGATATTTGGGGCGAAGTATGCTACTCAAAATCTACTTTAAATGAAATATAACAACTTATTAATGTGAGTCGTGTTTATATGACAGACTATTAATAGTTGTCTAATATTTGAAAAACGTAAAAAAATATCATCATTACAAGACATTAATAACCACTAGACCAAGGGAGAGCTCTAAAGAATCTAGTACCTTCTCATAAAGGCTCGGCTATGGACTCTAAGTACTTATGTAGAGCACTCTATAGCTAGAAATTGAACCATGAATGCTCTGTGCGATCCCAAGAAAAGATTTAGATGCCCGGACACTTAGCATTAATGAGACATGACAGAATAACAATTATTATGCTAAATTGTAAACTCGTACCATTAAATTATAGGATGGGACTCCAGATGAGAGACATTATTATGAATCTAAGTATAAATACCTCTCCAAAAATTGAATTCAGGTATACAATTGAAATCAAGAATATTTTGTGTGCTTTCACGCGAACGCCGACTGACTTAAATGTCGAGGAGATTAATTGGGTGTACATGTATATAAATTGAAGTTTATATATATATGTTGTTATGAGAAAGTAGTCTAGGGAAGTTATGATTGCCATAGTTTCTCTGTATCAGTTTTCATTCTTTTTCTTTCCAATTGTGTAAGCAGACGGGTGTATTGATGAGTGAGGGAAGAATAACCTAATGCGGGCCAGCCTTTTTGTTCACGGGTTCTTCTATTACTAGATTCTCTCTTTCTCTCTGTCTCTCTCTCTCCAAGGACTATTTCAATGGCATTATTGCGGTGTTGCGTCTCCATTTTCATCTTTTTGCATGATATTATCTTATTCACCCTCTCTCTTATTTCAAGGGAGAGAAGGTCGTGGATGAGAATAACTTCCTATAGCTTGGCTCACCTTTCATCCCATATTTTATTTGCATGTAGTTAAAAGGACACTGCTTCAAGAAGTTGAAGAGAGAGACGAGGGAGACTCGTGGTTAGAGATTTATGCGAGAGTAATACTAGATGGATTTGAAAAATAGATTTAAAAATTAAATTTGATAATCTCAACTATTAAATAGGTAGTGAGTCCTAATAAATGCTAGGACCCACAGTGAAATTAATGGTTGTAATTATCAAGTCTAATTTTTAAATCTACTTTTCAAGTTCATGTAGCATTACTCGTAACGTTTTTAATAAACGTTCTATTCTCACTCTGCCACTCAACCATTTTTAGAGAGCGGGCAACGTTATTACTTTATATTTTGTAAAAGTCGATGTGTTATTGAGCACTAATTTTTGATGTTATTGTAAAAATTAAATATTTATGTTATATAATATACGTCTAAAGGTTTGTCATTGATAGTGTAAATGAAAATTAGGATTGAGTTTGTGTTACTATTTGAAATTGTTGAATTTTTCATTTTGGGTATTGAGTATTTTAAGTAAAACAATCTCGTTTGTGTCACTATAATAAAATTAGTGTTACTATAGTAACACTAATGTTAAGGAAATTTTGAATTATTAAAAAAGTTTTGTTATCTGATTTTGACTTAACAGACCAACGATTTATTCGTACATCAAGCTTCCATATATAACTATTATAATATATAAATTATATATAAAATTTTTGTTAATTATCATAATATTTAATAAACGACTTTCATATATAACTCAATTAAGAGTTTTTATATATACTTTAATGATCTAATCTATGTAAAAGAGACGGTAAGTCAAACGACGGTTATTGTTTTTTCAAAGGATAGGGGTACAATAGTAAATTTGATAAAAAATGAACTTAAAATCAAATAATTTTTTTTATCAAACTTATTTCCAAATAAATTCATATAGGAGAATCGACTTCCAAATTTCTCGAAATTCAATATAAGCATCTCACATGTTTTACAAAAAGCAAATTCTAAGTGACGTGGTCTTGAACACCACATATTAATGGGCCTTGTGTTTTATCAATTTTTTGCGGTCAGGTTATAAAAAATTTATTCCTTGTAAATAGGGATTCAATTAGATTGTATCATGTTATTTTTGTGTCAAGTCACTTTCGATATGTGTCAAGTTCATGTTAATATTCGTGTTAATAAAAAATTATTTAATTTCACAACAACTCATATAAATATTATGTAAAAGTTATAAGATTCTTATTTTTTGTCTACAATATTCATTAAATACTTATTTTCTATGTACATTATCTGTTAATTGTGTTATTTGTGTCGAATCTTAATTTAACTAATTTATTACTCGTGTCAACTAATCATATTATTTTTTAATTTTAAGTCAAGTCGGGTTTATGTTAGATCCGTGATAATGGATAAAATTGTCATTCTTACTCGGGAATCTTTTAATCTCAATGTGAATGGATTGTCTTCGAGCATATCAAAAAAAAAAATTAATTGAGATGCACATAAATTAATCCCGAAACTCTTAATCATAAAACCAATATAAAAAGAAGAGAACACCTCATATTGATGGGCCTCTCTCGTTATGAGATGAAATATAGAGCATCCCGAATGATGTACAATGTCTTATCACTTGAAATTTATTTTTTTATAAAATATTTGGGATGTATAGAACTTTGGTTTTTTTATAGGTGCAACTATTTTAGATAACTTCATGTTTAATCAATTATAATTTCTTCTTTTAAAAAGTATAACTTAACTTAAAAAAATATTATTTTTATTTTTAGAAATTGTAAGTTCTATCACAAAAAAATATAATTTTATTTTAAAAAAGGGCAATTTAGAAGCCAGTACATTTTTTAAGACTTATTTAGGCAAAAGTACAACTCAAAAACTTATTTTTAATAAAGTGCATATTTTTTTAAAATACCACTATTGACATCGATAAACAATAAATATATGAAAATTCATTATCTTCTATCCGTTTTTTTTTGGCTAAAATCAAGTAGAAGATAAAATAGGGGGTTTAATTATCAAAATTCATCTTCTTCGGCAGAGGGATTGGAATACCAAAATTGTGACTGTTCATTGTCAAAAAAAAAAAAGAGGAATCTGAGTTACTGTTCATCGTCCAAAAAAAAGAAGAATACGACTTACTGTTTTTCAGTTTTTTCCCCTTCATTCCATCATCGAGCAAACATAAAACAAAATCGAACATAGGAATTTCCCAAAAAAAAATGACCGAATAAAAGAAGAAATATATTTATTATGTCTATACAAAAAAATATTTACATTCATTAAAAACAGTTACATCTATTAAAATCAAATGCATTTTTTTGCCCTTCATTCCNTAACTCAATTAAGAGTTTTTATATATACTTTAATGATCTAATCTATGTAAAAGAGACGGTAAGTCAAACGACGGTTATTGTTTTTTCAAAGGATAGGGGTACAATAGTAAATTTGATAAAAAATGAACTTAAAATCAAATAATTTTTTTTATCAAACTTATTTCCAAATAAATTCATATAGGAGAATCGACTTCCAAATTTCTCGAAATTCAATATAAGCATCTCACATGTTTTACAAAAAGCAAATTCTAAGTGACGTGGTCTTGAACACCACATATTAATGGGCCTTGTGTTTTATCAATTTTTTGCGGTCAGGTTATAAAAAATTTATTCCTTGTAAATAGGGATTCAATTAGATTGTATCATGTTATTTTTGTGTCAAGTCACTTTCGATATGTGTCAAGTTCATGTTAATATTCGTGTTAATAAAAAATTATTTAATTTCACAACAACTCATATAAATATTATGTAAAAGTTATAAGATTCTTATTTTTTGTCTACAATATTCATTAAATACTTATTTTCTATGTACATTATCTGTTAATTGTGTTATTTGTGTCGAATCTTAATTTAACTAATTTATTACTCGTGTCAACTAATCATATTATTTTTTAATTTTAAGTCAAGTCGGGTTTATGTTAGATCCGTGATAATGGATAAAATTGTCATTCTTACTCGGGAATCTTTTAATCTCAATGTGAATGGATTGTCTTCGAGCATATCAAAAAAAAAAATTAATTGAGATGCACATAAATTAATCCCGAAACTCTTAATCATAAAACCAATATAAAAAGAAGAGAACACCTCATATTGATGGGCCTCTCTCGTTATGAGATGAAATATAGAGCATCCCGAATGATGTACAATGTCTTATCACTTGAAATTTATTTTTTTATAAAATATTTGGGATGTATAGAACTTTGGTTTTTTTATAGGTGCAACTATTTTAGATAACTTCATGTTTAATCAATTATAATTTCTTCTTTTAAAAAGTATAACTTAACTTAAAAAAATATTATTTTTATTTTTAGAAATTGTAAGTTCTATCACAAAAAAATATAATTTTATTTTAAAAAAGGGCAATTTAGAAGCCAGTACATTTTTTAAGACTTATTTAGGCAAAAGTACAACTCAAAAACTTATTTTTAATAAAGTGCATATTTTTTTAAAATACCACTATTGACATCGATAAACAATAAATATATGAAAATTCATTATCTTCTATCCGTTTTTTTTTGGCTAAAATCAAGTAGAAGATAAAATAGGGGGTTTAATTATCAAAATTCATCTTCTTCGGCAGAGGGATTGGAATACCAAAATTGTGACTGTTCATTGTCAAAAAAAAAAAAGAGGAATCTGAGTTACTGTTCATCGTCCAAAAAAAAGAAGAATACGACTTACTGTTTTTCAGTTTTTTCCCCTTCATTCCATCATCGAGCAAACATAAAACAAAATCGAACATAGGAATTTCCCAAAAAAAAATGACCGAATAAAAGAAGAAATATATTTATTATGTCTATACAAAAAAATATTTACATTCATTAAAAACAGTTACATCTATTAAAATCAAATGCATTTTTTTGCCCTTCATTCCAACAATGAACAAACATAAAAAAAATCGAATATAGGAATTTTTCCAAAAAAAAAATGACAAAATAAAAGAAGAAATATAATTATTAACAACTAATCTTTAAGTCGATGACAGTAATTGGTATTTGCAGTTCCTTTTTTCAAATAAATCCGCCACTAGAGAAATAAATTGACCGTTGAATAAGACTCTTACTGCCGAGATCAGATGAACACACACGTCGAAGAAAACTCTTATTGCAAAGATCAGTTTTTTTTTTTGAACAAACTGTGTAGAAACGTTTGAAGACTTTTTGTGTTATTGCAGAAATCAGTTGAACACAGACTTTTACTGTATACAAAACTGTTTATTCAAAATTCAAAAATTAAAGATAACAAATATGTAATCTTTACGTATTTGTTTCTTCAAATACCTGTCAATGATGATTGCATAAATTAAAGAAAGGTGTTTAAGTAAAAAAGATTTTAATTCATTTGAATTTTGTACCTAAATGCAAAAAATTTTATAAAAATTGATGATGCAAAAATTGGTCTGCACACCACCTGTCAATTAAGTAATATAAAATGCAATAAAATAGAGGGAAAGAGAAAACAAGGTTTATAGTAGTTCGGTCAATATGATCTACGTACACTTTGAATGGTAAAGGTCGCCGAAATTTTATTATCTCCGGTGTGGAGGGAGAACACAGAATTACAAGTTTTGAGAGGGGAGGAGAGAATTATGCTTAAATGAGTCTGATGTTCCCCAAGTATTGATGGGATTTACAATTTAGAGTGACTTAGTGTAGCAATAGAATGACTAGTCTGGCGGTCATAACGGGTTAGGACCATTTAATAATAATTAAATATCTTGGTGACCTCTCCTCTCCTCAACGGGCAAGGAAGTTATGGTGCTCTCAAAAGGACTTGATCAAGAATGAGGGAGGTTGATTCTCTCCAGACTGCGAGGGTGAGGCTCCTGGATGCTCCCTTACTTCAAGGTGGCGAGGAGGAGGCTCTTGGACAACCCTTACTCCAAGATGATAGAGAAAGCTCTTAGATGACCTTTACTCCTAGGTGGTAGAGGAGGCTCTTAGATGACCCTTACTCCATGGTGGTGAAAGAGACTTTTTGATGACTTTGCATACTTCTTGCTGATGTTGCTCTTTGATTCTTGATAAACTTGTCCGGATTGACTGTTTTAAGCTGAGTTTACTGGATCTCTTGGAGATGGGCTATAAACTCAGACTGAACTTATAATTTGAGCTAGACTCTTGGACTTGGCTCATTAAAAATTGTAATTAATAGAATAAATAACTTATCCATACATTTTTATCTAAATAAATTTAAAAAATTAAACCCCACACCTAAAAAACTCTTTAACAAATTATAAATTTTAGTATGATATCGACTTTTCTCTCATTTCTCAACTCTGCAGGGCAATGGTTTGGTAAGAATAGGGCCTGAAGCGTTCAGTGTTCGGGACAGAGCTAATCAGCCCAGGTTAGGCCTTCGGACAATCGTGGGCCCACCAAGGGTAACATCAAGACAGTCACGAGCGCTGCCTTTGATTCACGTGCGTGTTGCCGGAGCACAAGCACGGGCTTAATTAAGATAGAAACAATTTGGGTTAGTTACAATTTGTCCCTTCAACTTGTCGACTTATTAGGCCACCTTTGGCTATAAAAAAAGGAGCAGCGCTGTCAAATTATTTATAATCGTCGGATCAATTCAATAAATTTTACCTTTGATCTAATGATTACAAATGATTTAGTGTACATTATTTTATCCTCAAAAAATATTTTTTTTTCATATTAATTCGACAGAAAAATTTAATTACACTCAAATCGATTCAATTTCTGATTTAGTTTTTGAGAGAAATTAATAAATAAATTGACACAAATTTAACTATGCAATACATGAAATTGAATACAATAAATTAGGAACCCGCTTACATATGATTATAGGACAAGGTACTAGTTGAGAAAATGTTGACATGCTAAATTTAAATTCAATACAATTATGACTTTTCACATGTTACCAACCCTAACTAAAACAGCGGCCTATTCATTTGAAGTTCCTAATAGACCATCCAAGGTTTCATGTACATGAAACCACTCAACGAGACTAATGTCCTGATAAAATATTCATCTCACAACATTTGCAAAAAATGAAAACTAGGTGATCAGCAGATGTGCTCCGTTGGATTGCTGCAACCATATAGAGAGAGTCAAGTATCAATCACCATCTAGAATCCGAGGAGCAACCAAAATACATGTTACACGGTCATTACTAGAGTACAATTATCAATCTATTCACAGTCAATTCCTACCATGAGAGGGATTAATCTCACACCATTTGTAGAAAATGAAAACTAGGTGATTAACAAATGTGTCCCGTGGAGTAATTGCAACCATATACAAGGAGCCAAGTATCAATGACCACACGAATTTTGATATTATTGGGTATTGATAAATTTCAATACCACATGTTGTCGTACACTGCCACCATCATCTAAAATCCGAGGAGTAACAAGAAGACAGGCATTACTAGAGTACAATTATCAATCTATTCACAGTTAATTCCTGCTATAAGTGGGATTCATCAGACAAAATTTGCATAAAATGAAAACTAGGTGATCAACAGATGTGGCCCATGGAGTAACGGCAACCATATAGAGGGAGCCAAGCATCAATGACCACCCAGATTTTGATATTGGCACCGCCACCACCACCACCACCACCATCACCAAGAGTCCGAGGAACAACCAAAACACAGGTTACATGGGCATAACTATGACCTTGATGAAGTGTCAAGAGACTAAGAATGGTTTTATAGCATGTTTCATCAAGAATCTAAGCTAGAATTTTACAAACAATAACGATCACTCTTCAATATAGAATACTAAAAACATATCTGCAGGGTAAGTCCTTTAACCCAGTAAATCCAACTGGAGGACATCTATACCAACATTATTAGCATTTAACATATTGTTGGTGTTGGAGAGTAACATACATTACCTCTGAGGATTTTCACTTGAAAAGAATATATCTTGCATGCTACAAATGGTACACAATTAAATTTATCAAGGATCATCTATCAATTTCTGTCTAACACCAACAAAGAAAGACATATCGGAACAAAAATCTAGCCAATACCAAGTAGCTACCAACTGCCATTTGAGTTGGAAAGATCACACCCAACTGAACTTTTTGTTGTTTTCAGCCTGATCATCTTCAAATTCAACATCATTGATCAATCTAAAAATGTGGAATCCAAATACAAATCATCAGAGACAGTTAAGGAATGATTTATTTTTCTTGAAAGCAGATATTCAATAACCTTTTGATATATATAATGACAAGGACTTTGACACAATCTGGCCTAGCAATGCCTGCAAATTGAACAAGACAGAGACCGATAAGAGGGAAGGGATGTACAAGGAAAAAGATGAACAAAATGGGCAGAACGAAGGAGGAGTTACAAACACCAGAAAGAAAATATTTTTCGAGGATTCGATGCTTTGTGATATTATCTCCTGTCAATAGCAAGAAATCCAGATGAAAGTTACAGTTCAATGGTATTAACAAGGGCCTAACTTCAAATTAACCAAACAATTATGGAAGATCAACTTCCAAAAAAATGGTCACTGAGCAAGGATCAACACATTGGATGACTAGCTATTCAGAAACAGTCGAGCTTCCTAATTCAGGCTCAAGCACAAGTGACTGACAAATCAGCCAAGAAATTTGCATCTTCACAGCAATCTAGGACCTAATTACAGTGCAGAATGAAACAGTTATTCACGGCACAGGTGGAAGATCTGAAACATGAATGAAATGGTGAGCAATGATCTGGTAAGTGGATTAGCAACGCATAACAAGTCCAGGTTCCTACTTCTAACATGATGAAGATCTAAAGCTCAGTTCAAATATTTTTGTACTTCAAGCACTACCCATTAATAACCAGCATCTCTCCCCCCAAGCTGTCACATAATCTCGCAATCTGCAGCACTGCGATCCATTTTTTTTTCCTGTAAATTTCAAAATTTCTCTTGCTCCATTTAGATATTGGATTCTATATTGATCTGATTTACTGGGGCATCATTTGGTTTAGCCTTTTTACCTAATTTTTCCACAATGCTCTTAAAGATGCTGGAACACTAGGGTACACTTTATCAATCTAGGTGGGAATTCATCCATGATATTTACAGAAATTGCTTTGAGGCGTGCAACAGCTGTTCCCCTGGGGGCTCAATATGACCATGCAGATCCCTAGAGTATTGGTATACTTCAATACCAAATGCCACCACCACCACTTAGAACCTAGGAGCAACCGAAAAACAGGTTACAAAGAAATTGCTATGATTATATGTCGTCATGAATTTAAGCTAGTTCTTTACAAACAAAACTGAAGACTCTCAAACAACATCACCTATGAAGCTTGTTAGTTGCAACCAATAGCAGGCTAATTGTACCATAGAAAACAACAGCATCAGTAAAAGATACCATAAACACATCTGCAGGGTAAAAACTTTAGCGGCTTAACCCAGCCATTCCATCTGGAGGATATCTAAACGACAATACATATTCACTTAATGTTGGTATCCGACAGTAACATAACACATATTACCTCTAACGATGCTACAGCTGATGAAAATAACTGACGGGAACCAGACTGCTTTGACAAGAAAATATCTTACATGATACAAATGTAAGACCATCAAATTCATCACCGACAATCTCACCATTTCTGTCTTGCTAAAACAAAGAAAGAACATCTCAGAACAAAAATTTGGCCGGCCAAGTAGGCTACCAAATGCCACTTGAATTAGAAAGATCACTTAACTGATTTTTTCTTTGTTTTCAGCCATATCATCTTCAAGTTCAACAGCTTCAGACAATCTAAAATAGTGGAATCCAAAAATATATCATCAGAGGCAGTTACCAAATGAATTTTTTTTTTCTCTTGAAAGCAGTTATTCGGTGAAATCAGACCAGAGGTAAGTGCGTTTTGGGAGACAAATAAAATAAAAACAAAAACCTTCAGACATTTCATTACAAGGACTTCTACAAAATCTGGCCAAGCTATGCCTTCAATTTGATCAAGACACAGGCGACTAAGAGGAAGGGATGTACAAGAGAAAAGACGAACTGAAAACAAAATCAGTAGTGTTAGAAAGACCAGAAACAATAATATTTTTCGAGTATTCAAAGCTTGGAATTCTGTCTCCTGTCAATGGCAAGAAATTCAGAAGAAAGTCACAGTTCAGTGGTCTTAACAAGAGCCTAATTCAAAGTAAACCAAACAACTATGGATGATCTACCACCCAAAAACAATGGTCATTGAGATCTTCCTCGTCAGGCTTTGAACACAAGTAACCAGGTGATCGCCCAAGAAATTTGCATCTTCACAGCAATCAAGGACCTAACTACACAAAAAGTTAGAGAGACATTAACTACACAGGTACGTGATTTGAAACATGAATGAAATGGTCATTTAGGCAATGCTTAGATAAGTGGATTAACGATTCATAAGAACTCCTCCAGCTTCCTATTTCGGGCTTGAACCCAAGAACCCCAACCTATCAGCCAAGACATTCACATCTTTCGCTTGGCCTTCTTCGTTCCCAGTCATTTCCAGTTCTTCATCAAACTCCTCACTCAGTAACTCTTCCCAGAATCCCTCATCAAGTTCTCTATCCTCACTCTCAAACTGCTCTAGTTCTTCATGTTCTGGCTCTGGCTTCCTTCTTGTTCTACCAAATCCCTGCATTTCTAATGCAAGTGCGTCCAGCTCAGTCACTTGAAACCCATAAGGATCTCCAAATTCAAGAGGTTCGACCTTAATAGGATTTAATCTTTTGCCACTTTGGCTAGACTCTCCACCTCCTATTCCAATACCTTGAGGCACTATATCAATCGGCCGCCGCCTTTTCTTAGAAATGGCTTCTTCAAGTTCCTTCCTTCTCTCCTTTTGTTGAACCAACTGTTGTATGAATGCTGGGTTTTGCATTGCTCTTGCTAAGAAATTCATCATTTGGTGCTGCTTTTTCTCTGTCCCTTGTAGCCTCAGCTCCATGGCATGAAGTTGAGCTCTGGTGTTCTGTTGCTGCTGTCTAAGCTTCACAAGCTCTATCATTAAAACCTGCTTGTCCCTTCTCAGCCGATCAACTTCTCCATCTAAACCGAATCTTCCAAGTTCAACATAAGGACCAAGAGCTAGCTGTGGAGGAAAAGGCTGAGAAGGTGCCTTTCGTCTCCTAATAACCCTCAGAAGATGCTTCTGACCTCTTAGAAATGCTTCATTGGCAAACTCCCATCTCTCTGGATCAATCTTTCTGAAGCCCTGAAGCAATTAAATCCCATGTTTAGCAGCAAAGTTAAAGAGCTAAGAAATTTGTGGTCAAAGACAAAACTCTGATAAGGCTTCAAACAAATGAGGAAACTTGGTACATATTCAATCCAAACGGGAAAGAGACTCATTCACAGTGCCTTAGACAAATAGATAATATGAAATTTTGGGAATCAGTATGATTTTATTAGGCCTCTCAATTCTCAACTGACGGATTCGAGTATCAATCTAATCCATTGTTGAAGTGTTGAACTGAGTCCCATATCCGATGGTGATAAAGGAATTCCGCGTAATCCAAGAGAGCAGGTCACTCCACCTACCAGGTGCGTCTTTTATGTTGGAAACCAATGCCAAACATCCTAGTATCCCAATACACACCCCAATACAAGAATTTAATCCTAGTATGATTTGATTAGGTCTCTCAATTTTCAACTAACCAGATTCGGATCTCAATCTAATCCTAATATACCTATACACACCTCAATCCACTAGAAATCCGATCCAATCTGAATAACATAATTAACCCAAAAATTATATCTTAATTTTAATTCCAAACCAATCTAATCCTAATATCTCGTACTTATCCCAACCCACTAATAACCAAAAACTCAATGTGAAAATCCGATTGGACACCTAAGTTTTAATTAACCCACAAATTACATCTTAATTTCAATTCAATTTCATCTAATTATAACTTAATTTAATCCATATGTGTTGGGTTAAATTTGGATAAAAATAAATTTAAAAAACCACATAATTCACAGAACAACAGTGGTCTGTGACATGTGAACACTTCACAAAAGCACTAGCCACAGTAAATAGAAAAATGAGATGACAGCATATTTTCTGTCAGGGTTAATTACAAAAATGCCCCTCTAAATTTGAGTCATATTACAATCAACTCCCTCAGGTTTCAAAGTTGACAAAATACCCCCTCCAAGTTTGTAGTCCATCTGAACACTGTTCTCTCTCTCTCACTTTAGGANCTTTTCTTAGAAATGGCTTCTTCAAGTTCCTTCCTTCTCTCCTTTTGTTGAACCAACTGTTGTATGAATGCTGGGTTTTGCATTGCTCTTGCTAAGAAATTCATCATTTGGTGCTGCTTTTTCTCTGTCCCTTGTAGCCTCAGCTCCATGGCATGAAGTTGAGCTCTGGTGTTCTGTTGCTGCTGTCTAAGCTTCACAAGCTCTATCATTAAAACCTGCTTGTCCCTTCTCAGCCGATCAACTTCTCCATCTAAACCGAATCTTCCAAGTTCAACATAAGGACCAAGAGCTAGCTGTGGAGGAAAAGGCTGAGAAGGTGCCTTTCGTCTCCTAATAACCCTCAGAAGATGCTTCTGACCTCTTAGAAATGCTTCATTGGCAAACTCCCATCTCTCTGGATCAATCTTTCTGAAGCCCTGAAGCAATTAAATCCCATGTTTAGCAGCAAAGTTAAAGAGCTAAGAAATTTGTGGTCAAAGACAAAACTCTGATAAGGCTTCAAACAAATGAGGAAACTTGGTACATATTCAATCCAAACGGGAAAGAGACTCATTCACAGTGCCTTAGACAAATAGATAATATGAAATTTTGGGAATCAGTATGATTTTATTAGGCCTCTCAATTCTCAACTGACGGATTCGAGTATCAATCTAATCCATTGTTGAAGTGTTGAACTGAGTCCCATATCCGATGGTGATAAAGGAATTCCGCGTAATCCAAGAGAGCAGGTCACTCCACCTACCAGGTGCGTCTTTTATGTTGGAAACCAATGCCAAACATCCTAGTATCCCAATACACACCCCAATACAAGAATTTAATCCTAGTATGATTTGATTAGGTCTCTCAATTTTCAACTAACCAGATTCGGATCTCAATCTAATCCTAATATACCTATACACACCTCAATCCACTAGAAATCCGATCCAATCTGAATAACATAATTAACCCAAAAATTATATCTTAATTTTAATTCCAAACCAATCTAATCCTAATATCTCGTACTTATCCCAACCCACTAATAACCAAAAACTCAATGTGAAAATCCGATTGGACACCTAAGTTTTAATTAACCCACAAATTACATCTTAATTTCAATTCAATTTCATCTAATTATAACTTAATTTAATCCATATGTGTTGGGTTAAATTTGGATAAAAATAAATTTAAAAAACCACATAATTCACAGAACAACAGTGGTCTGTGACATGTGAACACTTCACAAAAGCACTAGCCACAGTAAATAGAAAAATGAGATGACAGCATATTTTCTGTCAGGGTTAATTACAAAAATGCCCCTCTAAATTTGAGTCATATTACAATCAACTCCCTCAGGTTTCAAAGTTGACAAAATACCCCCTCCAAGTTTGTAGTCCATCTGAACACTGTTCTCTCTCTCTCACTTTAGGACATACACGAAAACTAAAATATTCCCCACAGAAAAAAAAAAAAAAAAAAAAAAGGGATATAGTGAAGGGAGTACTTACATAAGTATTTAGCTGCCTGACAAAGCTTGAGAAGTTGTTGTGCTTGAAGAATCTAGGGAGGAGGTTGGTGGAGAAGGCATTTGAGTCCCAAACCACAAAGCTCTGACCTCCTCTGTTCCAAGAAACAATGTGATCAGTAGTTGGATCATCCACCATATCAAAGGTTTTGTTTAGGAATGGTGGAGGACCAAGGTCATGAAGCCCCTCCATCGGTAGTGGCGGTGGCATCATCGGTGGGTCACTGGACGGGGATGAACTCGATCCGGGGTACTCCTCTTTCACGTCATCTGAAGGATTCATGATCTAAGATTGCAAGATAGATTAAAATTCTAGATGGGTTTTTGCAATTTTTGAAATTAATTTGTTGAATTCGATATGGGCTTATTAACCAGATTCCCAGAAGCACAGCAATCAAAATAACATAGTGGATACAAACTTGAACATAGACATTATCAAATAGAAAAAATTGACAAATAACGAATGGAGAGTACATAACAGATATGGAAATGAACAGAACGAAGAAGGATTTTGAGAAGAACAGAGTTTTGAAGAAATTAATGTCCTACATGAAGAAGAGATGGTTTGGGGCAGAGAGAAACTGAGTTTTGAGAAGAACAGAGTATCAGAAGATTGCAGTACCACATGAAGAATCAAAAGAAATTGAAGAGATGGCTTAAGAGTACAGACGGAGAAGAATCAATTGAATCAGATGAAATGAACAGAAGGGCCAAAAAAAGTACTACTAAGTGACACTTGTAATCTTACCCATCCTTTGCACACTCCGCTTTCCGCTTTGGGAAGGTCGTTTATGCCGTTAAGAATGTCGGTGGGATTCTCAACCATGAATTGGAAGCTCTGAGGAAGTTCTGGAAGCTCCGGAAGCGAGTTATTAAGGCTATAAATAGAGCTGGATGGGATTTACTGTAGTAGAAATATCTTGATGGAAGGTTCTAAATATTGAGGGGCAGCTTCAAGAAAGAGAAGAGAAACAGGTCCTTCGGAAGGTTCTGGAACTCCAGTTGTGGAGGTATGGCGGAGGAATGGGGGTGGAGTGTGGACCCCTCAGAGAAAAAAATATATCAAAATAAAAAAGGATTAGCATCTGTATAAATTTAAGTTGTTAAATGTAATTAGAGTAGAAGTTATAAGTTATTAAATTAAAAAAATGATTAATAACTAATTACGGGTGATTATTAATAAACAGAGAGAACATCAGATCCCATTTTTTCCTTTATTAATAAATTAGTAATATTAATTTTTCACAAACATCTACAATCTGATTGGTGGGTTTTAATAAACCTCCCCATATTTGGATGACGTCATCAGAAAGCACCTCTTTGTGGTCCTACGGTACCGTATCAAAAATTTTAGTTTTTTAAGATAAAATTATAATTTTTTTGAAGTTTAAATTATAATTTATAACTTTAAAAAATATAATCGATCACAAAATGTTAAAATCGATACCAAAAATTCATAATCAATTATGAGCATTTATAATCGATCATGACCTTCCTTTGATAATAAATAATCAACAATATATTACCAAAAAATTCCTTCTAATACTACTGAGCGCGTAGATCAATTGGTAAGAGGATATTCTAACTTAACCAAGGTCTTTGGTTCAAGACTTAGAAATGCAACTACGTTCGATAGAAAGAGTTTTGCTACCCTTATAGTCCTACTCAGCTTCAATCCAAATTAGTCACAGTCTGTTATGACTACTGGATATTGGATGATCTAACCAAAAAAAAAAAAATCTATATGATTGGTCGGTGGAGAGTAATTTTTTTTCCTTACTTTTTTGGGTGAGTAGTTGGTGGGGAGTAGTTATTTGATCATATCATCATTACTTACATAAAATTTGATAAGATTTCGTTTATAATAGGGATTGACTTAAGAAGATTGCAAAATAAATTTATATCTATTTATTTTTTATATCTACTTTGAAATTTTAGTTTTTAAAGTGTGACTTGTGTATATGGAATTGAATATGTTGTTTACGTATATTATCAAAATTAACTTGTTAAGAAAGTTCTTGATAGTGGACAAGTGGGCCACATGGTCTAGTCAGTAATATTCGAGGAATGCGGTTCAAGATAAGACCAATTTCTGCACAAAAGATTAGAAAATTGATAGTATAATATTTTTAAACAAAAGTTAGTGGATTCTCCAAATTGAGGGACCACTTTTGCAAATAAAATATTCAAAGATATTTTGAACGAACCTTCTACATTGTTCTAAAATTATTACATTATTGAATATCACTATTGTACAAAATGAGGTGGTATGAATGATGAAAAAAATGAGATATAAAAATTACGGGAAAAAGACTTTTCAGCCTTTAAGGAAAGAAAATATATTTTTTCTTTCTTTTGTTTGGTATGATTATGAATGCTGAAAAAATAGGAGGAATAATTTTTTTTTTAATATTTTATATGGTTTGAGAAGATAAATGAATAAAAAAAATGATCATAGTTGCCCTTCTGGGAGATATTCATCGTGACTTACAAGAATTAAATGACTTTGCTGTGGACCCCACTAATTTGGTTTACTTATGGTCTATTTGTTTTGATGGAAAATGGGGTGGATGGAAAATAAAGAAAGAAAAATGGGATGGATGAAATTTTTTTTCATTGTTTAGTATGGAAAGAAAGAGTGATGGAAAGGAAAATTGGAGGGAAGGTTTTTCCTTCCCGCCCACAATTTATTTTTCCCCCAAAAATGGGTGTAAAATGAGAAAAAGCCAACAAAATTTGACATTTGAACGATAATTTTATTTTTTTGTCTTTTTTTCTTTTGGTAATTATTTTTTTACTAACACACAAGAAACACACAAAATGATTTCATATATTTACAAGGTAGAATTGTAAAATTGGGTATGTATGATTTTCCTTTCCTTTCATTTTTATCTATTATTAAACGATGAAAAATATATCACTTTTATTTTTCATTTCTCATATTAAACAAAAAGCAGGAAAAATAACTTTATTTCCTTCATGGATGAAAAGTTTATTCATTTCACTTTTCTTTCCTTCCTACTTTTCATCCTTTGTACTAAATGGACCATTAGAGTCTCTCCAACTCACTAAATAAATCTCAATTTTTAACTATTTTGGTGAGACTGGCTCCAAAAACAAGTTTCAACCGTTGCCTAAACCTAGGATGCCCTTCATGCTCACCAGATCTGGAGAGGGAGAAGAAGCTCTCCATCTTTCTGGCAATCAAATCTTCTCCAACTGTTGCTAGGTATCATCTCCCCTTCCACACTCCCACCACTTTGTGTTGTTGTCGAACACCTCTCACCCCAACTACCCCAAGTTACAAATCCCCTCATTCTAAAACACTTTTTTCCCCAATTCTAACAAACACCTCTCCAATTCTGAAATCCCCTCCCACCCCTCATGCTGAAACACATCCTCACCTCCCTCGGCCCCCAAATGCCGAAACTCCCCTCCCCTTCCCTCATTCCGAAATCCCCCTTTTACCTCCGCCTCCGCCTCCCCATGCCAGAACCCACCCCCCACCTCCTGATTGATATTAATTTTTGCTATTGATTGATATTAATTTTGGTTAAATAGGTGGTTAAATTGTTATTAATTTTTGATTAAATGTATATAATGTTTGGTTGAATTATTATGATTAATTGATTTTTATTATTTGAAGTGGATGAGTGTTAAATTACTATTAGGTTGTGTTATTTCAAATTTAATTATAATTATTTTTATAATGTGATTTTGTTTGAATTGCTATTATATAACAGTTGCAAAATTCAAAATTTTGATGACGTGTCATAACATGTCATTATGCCGCGTCATCAGTATAGCGCTGACAAGTAAGGTTGCGTGGTATTTTTGAATTATATTATTAAAAATTAGTTGAAGTAGTTAGTTAAAAAAATGATTAGTTAAAGTAGATAATATAATATTTAAATATATTTTAGTTATCCATTTTTAAAAATTGGGTTAGAGTTGCTCTTATAATCAGAAAACAATAAAATAGTGAGCCGCACACTTATTTTCTACTTTTCCCCCTAATTTGGGTTGTTAAAATCTGTCATTTTCCACCAATTTTTTTTCCTCTCAATTTTCCGTTTGTGCCCAACAAAGAAAAATATCATGTTCCATCCCCCCACTCGTCCATTAGTTTGGTTTGTATGAGCCTATGTGTGGTGAATTTGCTTAAAAGAAAAAATAATTTAAATCTTAGATTTCTAGTTCTTGAATTATCCATGTCAACCCAAACATAGGACAATTAACAAATAAGCCGAGTTATTGGGAGCAAATCTAACATGGTTAATTATAATAAATTAACTGATGGTGATACCATGTTAGTACTAATGGCATAATATTATCAATTAATAATAAAATTCTAGATGAATAAAGTGAACTCTATTTAGATAATTATCGATTTGTGTGAAGTCTACCTCCTTATTTATCTATATATTATTAATTGATAACAACACGTGACAATGCTGAAAGCTGTGTTAAAGGCGGTAAAGGTTATAAATACGACTGAATGGGGTTTCTTTCCTGTAATTAGGGGTGTTCACCCTACATTACGAGTAAGAAATATGTTATTCCGTCTTCTTACCCGATACTTTGTGGAAGAGTTTTTTCTTGGCCTACCCTACCCGACATGTGTGATATTCCTACCCGCCTTTCTACCCGATTAATCGGGTAGGAAGTCGAGTAAACATTTTTGTAACAATTAACTTTTGGATCATTTTAACAATTTAATTAAATAACATGCACAAATTTAACAACACAATAAATCAATTAACACTAAAACCTAAACTAACTACAACAAGAATTATAATAAAACACAAAAAAGTATGAATATCAATCCACTATAATTGTTACACAAATATAATAACAATTAATTTAAGTTTAAACTTTAAACCATATGAAATACATTAAANATCAATCTATCATAATTGTTACACAAATATAATAACAATTAATTTAAGTTTAAACTTTAAACCATATGAAATACATTAAAATCATAATTGTTCTGCTAGGGTTTAGGATTTTTTTTAGTTTATATATATATATATATTAAAAAATTATTGCAGGTAGGGTAGAGTAGTAATGTGAAAATGAATGACTATTTCACATTTTTATCCGAAAATTGTCAGAAGATCACAAATTCTTCCGTATTTTTATCTAATTTTTGTGACTAATCGTTCAATAGGGTAGAATAGAATCAAGTCGGGTAAGATAGAAACTTACGGCTGATCGAAAATTTAAATACCCTAACCCGTAATAGAAATATCTTGATGGAAGGTTCTAGACAATGAAGGGTACCTTCAAGAGAGAGGGGCTCTTCAGAAACTTCTGGAATTTCAGTTGTTGAGAGCAGAGAGGTATGGTGGGGACCCCTGGATGTTATCATAAAACTTGTGACTTTTTGTTTTTTTCCACAAAAGTCTCACAGAGAGCTAGTGGCGTCTTCATTGGTTGGTGGGGAGTAGCTGTTTGGTTGGTCAAAGTAATAACCATAATTTACATTACATGCCATCTACACAAATTTTAGTCTATATTATGAATTGAAAGATGAAAAATAAAAAATGAAAAAAATAAATTTATCTCTATTTTTTTAAAAATAATTTGTAAACTTCAACCAAAAATTATTGTCACTGTAAATTTAATTTTTATTTAATGTTAATTAAATATACGGTAGAACTAACATGGTAGGAAAATTTTTGACCATAGACAACACATGAGTCATTTTGACTGGGGAGCAATATTCGAGGAATAAGGACTGTCAACATTAAGATTATTTAAGTGAAATTTGGCAAAATATCTTTAGGGTATAATATTTATAAACTAAAGTTCGTGGGATTC